GGGGGCAGCCGGTGCCAATCCCTCTGCCCTGTGTCTCCCAGTTCTCGTTCCTGATGACGGAAGCTCTGCTGATATTCTCCCCGGAGACCTCGCTGCTCCGCTCCTTCTCTCGCAAAGTCAAAGTGCGGGTGCACTGGGCCCTCCAACTGCTCGCCCTCCTCTGTGCCCTCCTGGGGCTGGGCATCATCACCTACAACAAGCACCTGAATGGCAAGGCCCACTTCGTGACCTGGCATGGCCTGATGGGGCTGCTGACCGTGCTGTACGCCGGCGGGCAGTGTGCAGGGGGGGTGCTCCTGCTCTACCCCAAACTGATGAAGAACTGGACGCTGGCCAAGCTCAAGCTGTACCATGCGACCTCGGGGCTGGTGGGCTACCTGCTGGGCTGTGCCAGTCTGATGCTGGGCATGTGCTCCCTGTGGTTCACCACCTTGGTGACCAGCATCTCATGGTACCTTGCCATGCTGTGTCCCCTTCTCACCAGTCTTGTTATCATGAACCAGGTGAGCAACGCTTACCTGTACCGCAAGCGGAGCCAGCACTGAGGCCTGGCGCAGATCCGAACTTCCCCTGTGTGAGCCAGTGAGACCAGGGCACCTCTGCTCGCGTAGGGTCTCCTCGGAACTTGATTTCTACCTACTTGTCTCTCCTTAGTCCTGGATTGTCTGTAGTGTCTTCTCCCCAGGGAGCAGGTACGATGTGTGTGACACTGAGCAGGCAGGAGCTGCCCACCTCATGCCTGCCTTGGCAGGGACATTTCTCAGCACAGGTAAAGCTGCTGGTCCCTGTGGCAGCTTGGTGCTCAGTGCTGGGAACTGGGGGGGGGTTCACTCAGGATTCCTGCTCCTTTTCCCTTCCCTTACCTCCCAGGGCTGCTTTGGAGCAGGCAGGATGGGAGCTGTCACGTTCCTGGTAAGGAGGGCAAGGAGTCCCTTCTCACCTGGGAGGCTGCAGCAGCCACCACACTGCCTCTCCTGCCACAAAGGCACCTTGGCGAGTAAAAGTGCAGGGCATGGTTGCAGCTTCAGCCATGGGAGGGCAGATGCAGTGGGGCAGCAGCACATCTGTCCTGATGGCACAGCCCCATACAGGGACGTGGTGGCTCCCTGGGACCAGTGCAGTCAGCCCTGCCCAACAGCCACGGATCTGGACGCCCATTGCCACGCACAAATCCTTCCTGCAGGCTGGGACAGCAAAGCTTCAGCCTGGCAGGAGGCGGGGGTCATTTTACAGAGCAAAATTACCCAGCTGGGCTGTAAACCAGCAGCCTGCAAAGGCCTGGTTTGTCCCTCTGAGGGGCACAGGGCACAACGCCAGCATGGGGGGAGCAGGGCTTGGTGCAGGCCTGGGGGACAAGCCCTTGAGCCAGCCTGCGAAACGGCCCTCGGGGTCGCAGAAAGGAACCTCCTTGCCTCACCAGCACAACAGCCTGCCTTCCAGCCCACCCGCCATCAGGGCAGCTGGGCGCTGCAACGCTCTGTCTGCTGCAGCAGCTCCTCCTTGGCACGTATCCTGCTCTTGGCAAGGCTGGAGAGCTGGGAGCAGCTCCCAGATTGGGAAATTCCTCTGTATCCAGAGCTTTTATTCAATAAAGATTTCAGGCAGCTACAGTGCAACAAGCCCTCCTTACTGCTCAGGGGTGGTGGTCTCTTTTGGGGTGCAGGCAGACATCCCTGCCTGCGCATTTCCCACCTCCTGCGTGCAAAAGGTCTCTCCCAACCTGCTGGGAGCACCCGAGAAGAAACCCCCTCCTCAGGCTCCTGCACAAGAGCCCCCCGGTGGCTGCTCTGTGCCTGCCCCCCCTTCCCTGCCCACACTCTGCTGCAGGAGCAGGCTCTTTCAAAGAACTCTTTATTAATACAGAAACATCTGTGTTTTTCCTGGTTGACAAAACCCTTTCATGTGGTCCTTTAAAAAAATAATCATGACACCATCGATCTGTGTCCTGGGCTGGGGACTGCCTGGGGGATCAGGAGCTGCGAGGAGGCTGTCGTAGGGAGCATCCTCTCCATCCAGAAAAAAAAAGGAAAAAAACCCAACAAAAAGCCCATCAACACAGAGTGAGGGAAGGAGATGGGGGAGCCCACGTTCTACCTGCAGGAAAGAAAACCTGCTGCTGGAGGAAGCAGCGAGAGCCCCACTGTAAAAATTAATTCCAGCTTCTACTGTAATCTGACAAACGGATTAGCTGGGGAGTGGCCAAGGGCACCGGCTCCTTGCGGGGCTGGCTTCGGGGGCAGGAGAGGGAGGAGGAGAGAATCCCCCACGTGCAAAGCCCAGAGCTGGCGGTGCTGGACCACCACTGTGAGAGGCTTGGTGGCCCCCCCTGCCCAGTGGCCTGTCCCCTACCTCGCAAACCTCTCACTGGTGTCGGTGAGCTCCTGCCAGGGCAGGGCAAAGCTCCCCATGGGAAGGGATTCAGAAAAGAAGCCTACCAGCCTTCCCATTCCCTCCGTTAGGGACAAAACTACCGTCAGAAAGGAGGAAGTAAGTGTTGAGTGCTCTGGCCAGCCCCCGGTGCAGAGAAGAAGCAAGGAAGCGCTGCTGACTTGGCTCCCCCGTGGGCAAGCGCAGTGGCTATGGGGCAGGATCAGAGCCACGTACCCCTCCCGGAACAGCCCCTGCTGCTGGTGCCGATGTCCACGGCCTGCCCTGTGCTGAGGGGAGCAGCTTGAAGAACTCCCGTCCTTCCTTGTGGTGGTGGCAGCAGCATTGTCCTGTTTGCCTGATGCTGGCCGTGAGTGGCAGCGAAGCGTTGGAACGAGGTAGCCCCCCTGCCTCTGCCACGGGAGGAGTCCCTGTGCCCCACTGAGCATCCTGGCTGTGGGGGGGGACATGAGGGGGGTTAGCAGCTCTCCGATGGAGATAGGGTGGGGAAGGGGGGTGGTGTGTCAGCCGGTCACAGCTGGGATGGGGCATCCTGGAAGGTGATGAGGTTGGACTCCTGGCCGGTGCCCTTCCCGGCTGCACTGGGGTCGGGTAGCAGCGGGCTGTTGGCCTTCACCACTGCTGCTGCTGCCTCCTCCTCGTCATCCTCCATGCTAGGCCAGGCTGACTGGTCCTCCACGCGCTTCAGCCGCTCGTTTAGGGCCTTCAGGGCCAGCTGCCTGCGGGGCAAAGGCAGACAGGTGGGTTAACCCCGGGTCCAACGGGCAGGGCAGGGGTTAACAGCTCTGCCCCACTGGGCACTGTGTGAGCCCCTTCCTGGCTTCTTCCCAGCAGGAGACTGGATGATGACCCAGAGTGCCTGGGACTGCCCCAAAGAAACCCATTCACGCTCCTAGATTACATCCACAAAGTTTTCACACCACGTGGTGCGCTCGGAGGCTGTCGGAGGACACAAGGGCCGCTCTGGGAATGGGGGAAGAAAGGCGTAAAACAGGGCAGGTGGAAGCGGAGCACCAACTGTTGGGTTGGAACCACACCTTCCTGATGGGAGTCGGGAAGGCCAATGCCTGGCGTGTGGGAGGGCCGGGGTGTGGGGCTGACTCACCACCGTCCCCCACGCCAGGATGACAGGTGCAGGACTGCCACAAGCAGGGGGCTGACACCTCCCCAGGCAGCTGCCATCCCCCCTCCTCCTGCAGGGACCCAGAACCCCACCTGCCGCTTCCCCAGGATCTCCCAGCTCCTCCCCCACCCTTCCACCATTGCTCCGCGTTTGTAACAGCAGCAAAATGCTCCACCAGCCCCCAAAATGCTCCCCACCACCTCTGTGGCAGGGAGAACAGCCCCCAGCAAACCCCCTGGAGAAGGCCCCTCCCTTAGCACCCTGGACCTAAATCTCCCCACTCCTCGTTTGGATTTTAAACCCGACCCTCGCTGCCTATAAACATGATCCCCATGGAAGCAGCGCAAGCAGTACCTTCTCCTCTCGGCGTCCTGGGGGTCTGTCCCTGGCAGGCTGATGGTGATGGACGACGGGGCACCCACGTCGTAGCGTTTGACTGTCTTGCGGCAGACCTTCACCTTCACCAGGATGCCGTGCACAAGGTTGGCCACCAGACCCACCACGGGCTGCAGGATCTCAGGGAAGAAAGTGGCGAAGGCGAAGTGGTCGGACATGTCTCCACGGCCTCTACTGTGCCGCTGGTAGAAACGGAGATAGACCCAGCCAGAGAGGAGCCCGAAGCCGTATGAGGCTAGTACATTGCTCTCAACGAGGGCAGCGAGCCGCAGCAGAGCCAGGAGAAGAAGCAGGAGCATGGGGACAGCCTTCATTCTGACCTGGGGCACCTTCAGGACAGTGTTGTCCCCCATCGTCTGCTTGAGGGCCGCCAAGACCCCCCCGAGGAAGCCCAGCCCACCGTGGATGCGGACGGCGAACAGGTAGGCG